TTTTTTTAATGATCAGGATCCTTTGAAATGTCAAAAAACCAAGTTTGATCGATATCGACTGTTTTACGTTTTGACCTATTTCTACTTTCACGAATATCGATGTTTTAGGACCCAAAAATGCAGAATGTGCTATTTTTTATATTGGTGTGGAGTTCTAGATTATAAATTTTCAAAAATTGTTTTTGATGTAACAAAAGATGTTGAACCGGTGGGAAATACGTTTTATATCCTTTTTTCTTTGTAAAATAACAAACATGGGTACATTTCTACAGGTACGTATTATGTACAACATCTTGTGAGTGATATACAGACAAAACTAGATTGCCATGCACGAACAGTCGTAAAGCACATTTAAATAACTGACCATCTTTTTTGAAATGATAAAAATTTGAAATCCTATATTATCCTAATTCTAAAGCACAAAGACATAATACTACATCTATAATGTACCCTTATTTAGGTAACCGTTTTTTCACGACTTTATGCAACATTTGAATAGAAATCACTGATATTCAGAGACCTTTGACAGCTTCTGTCAAACTGCATTTCGATAAGGTATTTTCCCATTGGTGCAAGGGACTGCTAAATATTAATGTCGGTGAAATTAGCTCTTAATGTAACATGCCACGGTCTATGAGATAATCGGAATCCTATACCACAACAGTACTGCCGCGTGTGGTCATTGTATGCACAGCCCGCATAGTTTTCGGGAAGAACCAAAGCAGGAGCCATCTGAAAGGCAATTGAGCGTCTCCATGCGTGGGAGGCGTTTGGACCGTCGCTCCTAGCGAAGTAAAGCGATGCCATGGGACAAATTATAACCTAATTTCTGAAAGACAAAACTTCAACTCACCTCACGTTATTTCTGTTTAGAGCCACTTGTGGCAGCAGGTCCTTAAATGAATTCTTACTCCTGACATCCAGAATGTTCATTGATTCAGCAAGTATAATAAGTCTCTCAGCGAGCACAGTTGATACTGACCAACAGGTTTGTGCTCTGATGCGGCTCCCATGATTGCTCCCGCCAAATCTTGTAGGAACATAATATGTGTACTATACCACTTCCTACCATATGATAGAAAAAACAAAGTCATAGTGTTTGCCAGGAATATCATGGCCCTACAGGCCGTGGGAACCTTTTTCTGCCACCGACAGGCAGCGGCCTTTGGGTCACCAAATCGTGCCTTTTTTTGAATCGTATTCCCAGATCCCTCTGTAACACTCTGACACCTACCTGTTCACTTAGCGCTAAGGTATCAAAGAAGATGTCAACACAGTGTCTTACGACCATCCATAAGTCCTGCAAATGGAAATTCTCGTGCCTTAGCACCCCTCCTCCAGCCGTAAAGGAGGCTTAAAGCCACGCGGGCAAAGCAGATCTGAGGCTCGTATAAATAAATGAGGTCGGTCCTGTCATATTTATGTCTGGCACATTTAGATTAATATTACTCTCTCCCGGAGAGCGCAATGATAGTTTACTTAGGCAAAAAGATGGCATCATGCGTAATTTTAATGACTGACACCGTGACACTGAATTCTATTATTTCCAAACCTGTCCACAGATTCATCCTCTGCTTTTGAGATTCCTCCGCTTTAGGGTTCCATAGCTATATAAGTCCTTATTGCCACAGTGCATCTGTTTATGTACGAGCCTGGTAGCATCTATAGCCGTATCTATAGGTTGAGCCCGCTCTGTTATGTAGGATGAAGAACATTGTGATACTATTTACGGAAATCCACGTCTTTAATGTCTATGTCAGGTTAGGTTTTCTGTGAGTGGGTCAATCATGATCCTTCACTGTGAGTCTTCCGCCATGGCCAGCCTGCTCACGTGGTGAATCAATTTGCAATGATCAGTGTACAGTCCCACTAACGCTTTAAGGCTATTCCTGTTTAGCCGCAACAATGATTCTGTTCCCTTCTTTGTTGTCAAAGTTGGTGTCGTTGCCTCAGCCCGGGTAAATTCTTTTTATCCCTCCTAGCGTTGAAAGGTCTTCCCTTTCACATATACAGAGATTATTTATTAAACAATATTGTACTTGATCTCGATCACTGGCTTTATGGAAGGTCTGCTAGCCCCACCCTTTGCCACAGTGTCAGCTGTGTGGTTTCCTTTAAGACCTGTATGTAGTATCCTTATGAAATGGACTTTATTTCCTATCCTACCAAGAGCTTCCTCACAATTCCACACTAATTTCGGGAGCCAAATGCTTAAAGTGCTGCTTGTCTGTCTGTAGGAATATTTATAGGCCTGTCCGAGCTACAGATTTGTTATCATAGGTCTAATAACCATGGTATAAAGCGAAAACATTTGCCTAAGACTCATTCCCCAGTTATTCCCAGAGACCCTTCGACAGCTCCACAGTGAGATCCTGGACTACTTCCAGATGGGATTCCAATTTAGTGTTTTATCTAAGATTACTCCTAGATATGCCTATGTTTCTCTAACGAGAAATTACCCACCTTCAGTATTACTATATCACCATCGTAATCCTCTGGTCATCTCATACCGAATCGGCACATCCGTACGACAATCGTCCCCTAACGGATATTCTATGCAAAGCGGTAGGTATCCCGTTGTCATCGTCCAGCGTGCATGATTAAAGGGCTCGCAAATACGGTTAAGGGCCGGGAATTGTCATGTGTCGCTTTAGTCACAACCAGAATTGTCCACGTGATAAATTAATCTCTGGCCTTGGGTGGTGGAGGTCGGGTCGTAAGAGGAGCATCGGCGGTAACGACGTTGGCCACGCCATGCCGCTTCAGCTTCAGTTTCAGCTACTGTTTGCGACTAATGAAAAACGGGAGCTACGGATGTCCGGATGGACGTAGCCAGAACTGGATCAGACAATGTAAATGCAGCCATAGTATAAAGCTGTAGCAGCCATACAAATAACGTAATGGTTAAAGCAACAACAAAAAATGGTGCCAGATAGTTTCTTTGCGTGCATTAAGACAAATCTGTTTTATAATGAGGAATATATTTTCGAGACTCAGGAATTCTATAAGTTGAGCACCTTAACTTTTTGATCACGCGCTAAAGTCACCAAGAGCTGGAATGGCCGAAAAATGAAGTCGACTTTTCAAAAGCTCTGCCATTAAAATTAAAGTGTAGCAGGCGAGGCTCATAGACAAGCTGACGAAAATCAGTGAGGCGGCTCTTCGTCTTCTGGGCAAGTGTAACGCTACATGGAAGAAACTCGGTCTTTCGTTTCCAAGTCTTTCGTGGTAAAAATGCCTTTGTCCACTGTGGTACGAAACAGGGACATATCCGAACATTATTATATCCCGTTTTCAGAGTCCTAATCATTTATGGGAAACTAAAGAAAAAGCCAAACAATATTCGAATCACTATCTCAGTGACTATTTCTACTAACTTCTGCTGATATTATAAATACAGAACTCTACTAACATTATAAATTCGGAAGTATATAACATATATGTATGTTCCGTTTCCACGCGAAGACAAACTAAAGTTAGGGATTCAAATATGAGTCTTTATGTTTGACCCCTGGAGTGCTTGCATCAAAATTTTTGTAATTCCTTTTCTAAGGGGCTGTGGTTAACGTTAACTCCGCTTTCGAGGCATTTTTCAAATGATGCCAGTTTAGATGTAGCAGTATGCTTTATCTTTGATATAATAAACATTAACTGGATATTTCAGAAATAATGTCCTTAACATGAGATAAGAGGTAATTTCAATTTGTAACCACATCACGTTTCAAGTTAAATTTATAGAAATTCATTTCAAAAGCTATTTGACCTATGAACATGAAATTTGGAAGGGAAGTAAATTATGGATCGAATATGTCAACCAATAACAAATTTGACGAGGGTCGAGTTGAGGTGTCAAAGAACAATCGCAGGTTTGTTCAAATATCCTTAGAGTTTCCTGCGGGACACCTAACAATTGGCAGTAATGAGGTTCCTTTACGTAAGGCTTAAACTAAGAATGGATTTTGTAAGAAAGGCGAGCTAAGGGTCCCAAGGCTTGTCACATTTTTATATACATTTACCTGTTACAACTATAGACATGCAAACTGGCACGAAGGTACGATATGAAATTTGGTATTAGTCTAACGTGTTAATTTGGAAATTTTGGTTATTGTAACAAAAGCACGGGTATCATGTAAAAAACCTATAAAGCGTCAAAAAAAAATGAGATGTCAACTTGCAGACTAGGTGGCTTTTAGGGCGCAAACAGTCATTCCACGTTTGCTCACATCTATGAAGGAATCACTCAGCTAAACTACGCATTATCGGTTGCATAGTTTTGTGAGGCTGATTGATCCGTGTCTGTAGTTTTTATTTCTGAGAAGAAAGTTATGTGTATTGGTCTGCATGTGTTTAAAATCAGTGATACTTGCTGTGTGAGAAAATCGTTACTGAATATGCCGAATGTGACGGGTTATTTATATGTTGCGCTTTCTGAAGAGAGGTTATGGTCAAAGTTATAAATTACGGAATACTGGGGAGAATTACGGGAAATCATCACCGCGCCCGCGTTGTGTCTAATCACTGTCGTGTGACAGCAGAACCTAGTAAGTCACTTTTTATCAGGTTTGAGAAATAACATATTTTCAATAAACATTCGGCTTTCGAAAAGTTTAAGTTTTATGAATATTAAAAAAATTGTCTGAAGGGTTATGTAACTTGCTAAATTCGATAGCATCAATTTTATTCATGTGATAGTTTTGTTTATGGTAGAAAAGTGACTTACGTTTTTTTTTTCATGGTTTCTTTTTCGATATTAAATTAAGACACTTTAGCAGAAAATGGCAAGTCAACTTACTGATTTTTACAAAATTTCGACTAGAGAAAATAAAAAAAAAAAGATATTGTAAGTGTACTTACTAAGGTTTTATTTGATATAATTTATGTGCGAAGGCGAACACAAAAAGTAACATATCTACTTACTAACTGGAAAATAAACATTTGAATGAAAAACGGTGGAACATAAAACAGCAAGTCTACATACAAGAAGAACAAGAACTTAAGCGCTAAGCCTCTGATACCACACATAAGTCTTTGGAATTATCATTAGATGGCAAAAACTGCCAAAATAGTTTCTTTCTTTCATCTTTGAAGGATGGTACCAATTTTTTTAAAATTGTTTCTCTTTTTTCTGAGTTCAATCCCAGTGGCTCGACAAAAGGATGTATAGGGAATTTGAGATCAACTTTTTTTTTCAAAAACTCGACTTCCTGAAAGACAGTTTCATTATGGCATTCTTTATAAAACAAGTTAGTGTCTGCATCCTTTGCGAAACTGAGCGAGCTTAATTTTTTCAAGAAGAGGTATATTATTGCTTTTTCTTTGTTTGCTTCCATCTTCAAAGAGGAAAAAATCAAAATTATTTATAGGCAAACATTTAGTTTTTTTTGAGGACTGCTCAATTATTTTCAGAAGCTGTTCAAAATCATAAATGTTTGGGTGTTTTTTCATTTCTGTGCTGATTCGGCCATGAACCGAATCCGCAGCCATAAATGAATGGCCTGGTTCAAAATATTTTAGGGTGATCTCTTCTGGACCCCATTCACAATTTACAAAAGTCGCAAAAGCAGAATATAGTGTCCAATTCTTGTTCTGAGCAGAACAGTTGTCTACCCAGAATGTAAATTTTTTGGTAACATTGTCTGAATTTTTTATTACGTTGTAGTATGCCGATGCACCATCCGTCGCGGACCTGCCTCTTATAGCCTCATGCCACATCACGCAAATATTTCCGTCCTTATGAAGTGACGCAAACGTCTCATTGAATACGACCAACCTGCAACAACAAATATAGAAGTATATAAAAGTTTAATACAATTATATATAATTATAAACGAAGTACCTTGAAACAAAAAAAGATTCCTTGGTTGACATTTTGGGCAAGAGTAAGACTTTCTGCATATCTACAGCATAGACCTTCTCATCTTGCATTACCTCTTGATTGGAGTCATTTTCATAGTGCTGTCTTGCTTCCGTATAACTTTTTTTGTGGTTTTCGAATTGACAACAAATCTTGCAACTACTTGCGTCGCATTGGCGAATAATGTGAACTTTATGTTTTAGACACTGAGCGCATTCGTCTTGGGATGGCTTTTTAAACCCAATATTCTGTTTTTCAAAAATTCTTCTGTATAGATCATATGAAATTTTCTGTAGATTACAGAAGTCTTGCCACATGTATTTAATGGTCAAGTCAGGTGGCAAGAATCGTCTATTCGGGGTGTGCTTTAAATTATAGTGAGATACTACCGGATTGAATGAGTTTATATGCTTTATGACAATTTCCTCTGTTCTCATTTTTTGTTCTTCTAGCATGCCTCTAATAACTAACCCCCTTTCATCCACTGTTTGTGCAATTCCTTCTACACTTCGCTTTTTGGAATGTATATGGCAAGTTATCATACCATCTGTTTTAAGTCCTAAAGTATGCAAAAACATTGTTTTGCACACTTGTATTTTTTCAAATTTAGCTTCAGTTTCCACTGGAAGGGGTAGAAAATATTTCAGAGAAACATTCCTGGAAGAGCGCTGAGCCTCTTGCCGCCTTACTTTGATTTCAAATTGTTTGATATCCAAAAAAAGTCTACGCTCGCCAAAGCTGAGTCTCCAGAATTTCGTTCTTATCAATTCTCTAAAGTTCTCTTCATTGATTTTTGAGCTACATTTCTGCCTGCAATTATTATGGCATGTTAGCAGTAGGGGGTGCTTTTCTTGCTTGTCTGACCTTTCTTGGGAAACTCTGCAGTTTGCATTCACATTCTCGTTGACTTTTTTCAAAGTCTGCCTGTTTTTGAGGGGCGCAAGCGATACGTCATCAAAGTCCGAAAATTTAATTTTTTTCCTTCTAGGGGATACTGACGGCTCATAATTTGGGTCTGCATCAGAATCGTCATAATCTGATATAGGTTCTTCATCATGTTGCTGACGCTCTTCGAGAGGTTCATTTCTGAAAGATAAAATAAATAGAGGTCAGCGGTTTGAATATATATTTCAAATACGAAAACCGTATTGCAAGAATTAGCTTTTTGTTTGTAGTAATTATAATCTTTTATTTTGCTGAAAAAAAAACATCAAACTGCAATGTTACTCCTGAGTTAATATTTCATTTGGCTTATATGTAATGTATGATGCTTGCACTCACCTCTCTGTAATGCATAAACTCGTTATGAATTTTCCTCTCGACATATTCTGGATATTAACTACAGTACTAACGTTAAACTAATTCGCGACTGTCCTCACCGATCCACACTCTATGCCAGTTGGAACATGACTGCGGAAACGCTGTAGCATGCATCCGTGCCTACACTCAATCGGCTTGAAATCATGGCATGAAAATTTAGCAAAAACTAGGAAGTGCGTTTACGACGGAGTCTCCCGCCAAATTTCCTACAAAAAAAATCTTCAAAACGTAGCATGTAGACATGCCATCATTTGTTGATTTTTTAAATGCTGTTCTGATGACTTACTAGGAAACATGAGACAAAGATATACGATTTAGAGTGCGTCTGAGCGAGAGAAAAAAATTCAACTAGTAGAACTTTTTACGGGCTTTTCAAAAATGACGTAAAAATGTAAAACCTAGTAAGTCGACTTACTAGGTTCTGCTGTCACACGACAGAATCACTGTTAGCATGTATATGGCTTGTAATCCGACAGTCTACAGTGAATATAATTATTTCTTATCTCTCTCATTTTTTAAATTCAGCTAATTTGTATATGCAGTTTCCAGAATGGATATGGAAAAGTGGATGCGCAACTAATTTCTAGCTTTGAATCTCAATTAAGCGTATTTGAGGCACGAATCCAATGTAATTATCATCAACACATACAACATACAGCTTAGACCTCCAGTAGATTTTACATCATATCAGAGCCAAAGATTGATAACAAGCCTCATGACATTTATGCCACACGTACAACTAAGTGCTAAATTAACATCTTGTAGAATAACCTACATAATGTAAAAAAAAACAGCACAATGTCAAAAAAAAGTTCATAATGTTACTCGTCAAGATTCACGATACCCGTGCCGAAGTCGAAGGGAACACGCTAGTAATAACATGAAAATAAGACTTTCAATATCGAATTTGATTCTGACAAGAGTCAGGTAAGTGATTGAGGCTATGCCTTCTGTAAAGGACACCTCCACCAAAACTTCATCTAACATGTTATCCACATTTAGTTTATCTGGTTGATACCAGTGCTCTTATGTTAAGGTAATAATCTCCACTCTAGCTACACAAATACGCAGTTGCAAGATACTTTATGCCAAGCATTTTGCACATTCGTTCAAAGGACCGCTCTTCTTTATTGATACCAGTGCTCTTATGTTAAGGTAATAATCTCCACTCTAGCTACACAAATACGCAGTTGCAAGATACTTTATGCCAAGCATTTTGCACATTCGTTCAAAGGACCGCTCTTCTTTATTTGTGTGAGAAAATTATGGCTCTGAAAGTACTATATCTTTATTTCCTCAATGTATTTGCTGAATTGCGGTATTGATTAACAATTCCTTGACAGGTAGTCTCGGGCCTATCTTACTCTGACGAGCGATGCGTTTGGTTCTACTGTATCAATGTGACAAAAGGCTTTGGTAGTCCTACGAGCTATACCTATGGATGCTCGTAATTCTAGGTCTGCCAAACGAGCCCATTACCTTGGCCGTCCTCTCCACATGCAGTTGTCAGAACTACTACTCCATTGTACCTAGGTGACCGGGAATGTAAAACAATTTCCCAAAAATAGGATTAACAAGACGTCTAAGTTCTTTATAGATAAAATCCATTTATCGAACAAAGAAACTAAATCCAAACATATTCACGCATACTTGACGTAATCGGACACCAAATTGCCTAGCATATTACAGATGCGGAAAGGCTGCATGCACCGCCGTGTCGTTCCAAGTTTGGGATTGGTTCGATATATGGGCTCGAACAATTCTGTCCAAAAATAGTTATGCTCCCCGTTTCTTGAAATATATCACCAAGTTGGCCACACACTAAACACGCACAAGTTATTGTTTTGGTTTAATGTCTTTCTTGGATAAGTAGACCTAACATCCATTTGAGGCATGCTAATACAAACTGCCTACTTATAAACAAACTATATTTTAACTCTCTAGAAATCAGCATGTGAAGGTATATTGTTATAGATAATATGAAAGATCTAGATCCTTGTGAAACTCTAGAATCTAGACGCCAGTTAATGGAAATTAATTATGTTTCAACCTTTCAACAACTAGCTGGTACATCTACTGGAAACAATGTAAAAGTAAACATAAGCCTAGGATACATCCAAATTTAACAAACGTTCACCGCTCGATGCCTATCAGCATCAGCATAATTAAAGACAAGGTTATCAATTATAATCCAGTAATTAATTACTCACCACGAAAGCTTCAGAATGTGTCATTAATCACAATCAACTTGTTAGTACAGTCTATTTTAGAATCGTATAGTTCGACAAGTATTATTCACAGTCCAATGAAAAAAATGCAATTAGTCCACAGTGTTAACCCGTTTGACAACGACGCTATATAATAGTTTTTCCCCTGCTGTAGCGATACTCCGGCACGGGTGTCAAGTAAAAAACCTACAAAACGTCAAAAAAACCTATAAGATGTCAACTTGCAGACTAGGTAGTTTTTAGGACGCAAACAGTCATTCCACGTTTGCTCACTAGGATCGTTGTGAACGTCTATCTATGGAGGAATCACTCACCTAAACTACGCATTATTGGTTGCATAGTTTTGTGAGGCTGAGTGATCCGGGTCTGTATAAATTACGAAAAACTGAGGAGAATTACGAGAAATCATCACCGCGCCCGCGTTGTGTGTAATTACTGTTAGCATGTAATTCGACAGTATACAGTGATTATAATTATTTCTTATCTCTCTCATTTTTGGAATTCAGCAAATTTGTATATGTAATTTCCAGAATGGATAAGAAAAAGTTTATGCACAACTAATTTCTAGATTTGAATCTCAATTAAGTGTATTTGAGACAAGAGCCCAATGTAATTATCATCAACACATACAACTTACAGCTTAGACCTCCAGTAATGCCATCTCGGAAGCAGAGTTTACATCACATCAGAGCCAAAGATTGATAACAAGCCCCATGACGTTTAGGTAACACGTACAACTAAGAACTAAGTTAACATCTTGTAGAATAACCTACAAAATGTAAAAAAACAGCATAATGTCAAAAAAAATCGGCATAGTGTCACTTTTCAAGATACGTTATACCCGTGCCGATCATCTGGTCCATTTTTGGTCGATTCCGAGATTGAATATTTAATTAGTGCCGAAACTTAGCTGTTCTGTAAGTAGTTT